GTTGCCTGGAGAAAGACTTCTCGATCTTGAGTATGCGGATGATATTGTCTTACTGTGCGAGAATGCCCAAGCCATGCAATCCGCACTTAATCAGTTGGCAATCAGTGTCCGTAGGTATGGTGTGTGCTTTGCACCTTCGAAGTGCCAAGTTCTTCTACAAGACTGGCAGGATTCTAATCCTGTACTCTGGATGGTGAGCAGATTGAAGTAGTCGAGAAGTTCGTGTATCTAGGTAGCTGCATAAGTGCTGGTGGTGATGTGAGTGATGAGATCAATGCACGTATAGTGAAAGCCAGAGGGGCTTATGCCAATCTGGGCCATCTTTGGCGCCTTCGTGATGTCGGTCTGGCTGTCAAAGGTTTAAAACGCGTCGGTGAGAGCAGTTTCGCTCTATGCTTGTGAAACCTGGCCTCTCCGAGTTGAGGATGTTAGACGACTCTCTGTGTTCGATCATCGCTGTCTCCGAAGGATTGCTGGCATTCAGTGGCAACACCATGTCAGTAATGCAGAGGTTCGGCATCGAGTGTTCGGTCACAGAGACGATAATGAAATTGGTGTCACCATCTTGAAACACCGACTTCGGTGGCTTGGACATGTTCTACGAATGTCGTCCCAGAGAATTCCACGTGGTGCATTATTTGCCGACTCTGGGACTGGTTGGAAAAAGCGGAGAGGTGGTCAGTATATGACATGGTGTCGTGGTATGAAAGAAAGCTGCAAAGGGCTGTCTTGTGTTGGTCCTTCACGACTCCCTGGTTGGGGTCCGAGAGACGGTGTAACGCAATGGCTAGAGACGTTATCAGATATGGCTCAGAATAGAAGCCAGTGGCGATCGTGCTGTAACCTTCTTTTACTTTCTTCATAAAAGTGGTTGTATCTTCCTCAACTGAAAGATCTCTTCTGATTGTACCTTTCCGCTTCCCCCACCATTGTCCTCTCTCCCTCCTTTTTTTATAATTCCCCACGTTCATTACTTTTTTTTCTCTTTTCTCCTTCTCTTCAAATTATCATTGTTTTGTGTGGCGCATATATATTTGGTGCCCCCCTGTACCAATATTTATGTGTTCAAATAAATAATAATAATAAATAAATTTTAAATGTAAGTAGTTCAGAAAACCATGCAAATGTCTGGCCCTTATGAATCCGTTTGAAAAGGCTCTGAAGTTCCATACCAGTTCGGATAAACTCCAGTGCTTCCTAATTTTAAATGGTTGTCCAACTAAGATCACTCTGTGATGTAAAAGATGAAATTCGGCAATCTTCACAGACCCCGTTTATTAAAAAAATATCTGATGAATAAATATTTGGACTGAAAAGTCATTGTCAGTTATCTGACCTAATCTTTATTTAACTATAACGATTGGTATTACTCATAATTCTTCGTCACTAAATTACTATTACATTAATGCGAAATCTAAAATGTAGTATGTATATACAGTAATGCTATTCCATGTTGCTTACATATATTCTCTGAGTGATATTTTCTTCCAAAAAATTCTTTCAGGCCCGAAGATTATCATGTCGCTCCGCTTAGTTCAATTGCAATGAAGCTGAAAACGAAAGAATCAAAATAACATGCTGATATTGTATTACTGCATATCTGTATATTATGTATTATAGTCATCTAACTGTTTCATTTTTTATGGTTTTGTTGTCGTTTTAGAGCATAAAGCTAACATTGATAATGAGTGTGAAGTTCAAAGAATTACAAATGGAAAAGATTAGATTTATACCGTACAGCATACTTTTAGTTCTTATGCTTTATTCACATGAACTGAGATGTACTATTATCATATCTGGATGTGTGTATACTGATTATAATGTATCTATTTTGATAAGTAGTCGATAAAACTATGTTATAGTGACGATCTTCAGGGAAATGGTCATATTGAAGATGTCGTTTATCGAATTTCGTGCAAGATTCAAACCTTATTGGAGTATAACAGATATCTTACTGAAAAATGAGGAAAAGTTGCTGATAATTAGTTCCTAGAATGGTTAAAATTATTGTAAAAATTATCTTTGTTCCAACCACACAGAGGATGTAACATATTGCGTTGGCTAAATCACAAGAAATACCTGTATCTAATACAGATTATTTCTGGACGTACTTCATGTGATTCAGGGCATAATCAAGGGTGTTTTTGTGACTGAAAATTATTCACTTACTCTATATACATATACTAACCCTAAAACTGCTAACCTCAAATCCTGTATCTAACAGGGCTCCTAATGCCTAACCTTAACTTTTTTCGTTCATCAATCATGCTAAATTTGTTTATTTACCCTAAGTTTCATTACTTTTTTTAATTCTAAATCGCTTTGTAACTAAACACTTTTTTGGTTGAGTGATAGTCTCCTAAAGTTGTCTTTGTAATTGATTGAGGTGATAACTCGACTTTCAATATCTAACGATAGCTTAGTATTTAAAACACTTATGGTACATACAAATACACTGCAACTGAACTAAACGTAATTTATCCAATGAAGGTTTAGGTTTCCACGACTCCGAATGGGTCAGGACATTGAAAAAATGTTTAAATATCACATACGTACGTGAAAAAATACTCTATATACGACGTCAGATAATACTGGTATACATATATCTTCTAAGGAATTAACTCACAGACGAACAAAGAGTAAGGTGATAATGGTTGGTAGGTAGGTTGTTTTTGATTATGTGCGAAGTTCGGTAAATATAGGACTTCCAAACCGGCTATTTATCATAGGATGATTGTTTCGTGTCAGATCGTACTATAATCTGATAGTGATACTTAACCCCCAAATGCCCTGGTACGATCGAGGGTGGAGGGAGTCCGCTCTTCCTCTCGATATGCTCTCACATGGCCATGCGTTTACAGCCACTTCTAGGGGAGTCCTACTCACTGCGTTTTCACAGCAGGCGTGTTGTTTACGGAAGTGAGCGGACGAAAAGCGAATGTCCGGCTCTTTGACTGGGTTGATGAATATGGGGGGATCCACCTAGGGAATTTGAGAAACTCTGACTCCAAATCGGTGGTGCACATGAACTCCAGGGACCTGGTGGAACAAATGGCGTATGAACCTATTGTTGATCACCGGCAATCATGGGACGGCATCTCCTGACGTTGCTCCACTGCCTTTTGGGTCAGACCTTTAGGTCAGAGGCTCAGGATGTGACCCTTCAAGAAAACCACCTGCTTCGATTTGGCACCCGGGCAGTATCATAGCCCACACACAAATCGAGTGACTTTTGTAACGCATATGAATTCGGTGCTCCTTTGTACCAATATTCATGTTCAAATAAAAAATTGATACTTAACCATACGCCTTCAGCTTGATATGGTTAGCATCACTGTTGAATGGTTAAAAATTGTTCATTTTAGTGGGCTATTCACAACTACAAATATGTACAGTGTACATTAGAAACCAGACACGAAGGAATGGGATTATTATATCAATATATATCAGCTACATAGTATGAGTGAGATAAAATAGTTAAAAGATCAGTAAAGAAACTAGTATTATTGTTTAAATGATATTTCTTTGTTGGGGACGTTAGACCCCTAGTTTTATTTTGAAATTTTTTTGTTTTCGCATCGAAAGAGCTCTTTTCACTGTTATGTCCCGATAAGCATAATGAATGATAACTTTGATATCCATTTGTGGAGCATACTATGCGTATATTTTTATCGTATAATTGTTAAGTAACTAAACTATTCATATTCATGTCCCTCTTATTATGAGCTTTGTTTTGACCCATAGACTTATTTTACGATTTACTATTCTTGAATTATGCCCTGTCCATTAATTACTACCCCTCTCATTCACAGCCACATTTGACCAAAACTCTTATAAATGTTGTTTCCTATTTTATGGGTACGATATGATATGTCTGGTTGGTATATAAAGCAAGTATGTTTGAAATACATGATTTATATTGCAGAGGCCTGAGATTGGTGCTCTGGACTTAACTGGCTGGGCTAGGTAGGGTCAATAAGGACTCTAGATTGCTCATATGTGTTTACGCGTCATTGATCCGATCGATACGTCACTGCTCTCGAATTGGTGGTATCGTTACGTTATAGCTTAACAGGGTATACAGGTCACAAGTTATAACATTCACCTTCATGTCGTGTTTCCCACTTGGGTGAATCTTAAACGCTATTGGTCCGTTGTGTCTTTTAGTATGCTATTTCGTAACCCTTCCCAAGGATGGTTTTATGCTGTCTATATACGTTTTGATTTGTGTCTGTTGTTATCGCTTGTGCTTCTGGCTTTTTGCAGAATATACTTCCCCGTTCGGACTTCACCTTCTCTCTCTAGTTAACTGGGCTGGGACGCAATAGAATAGCTAGTTTATTAGTTTTTTGTTACAAATCTTTGTTCCGTTCGCAGACTAAGTGAACTCGTAACCGCTTCAAACCTATCATTCTTCTAATCAAATCCCTTTATAAATGATATAAACTAACTCAAAATAGAAATTGTTTCCAAAACCAATTAATCTTATTTAAGTTATCGTTTTTTTTTTTATATTTCAAATAATAATTCTTTTTATATGGATAAAATGAAATAGATGAAAAATAATGAAATAATAAGTTATAGATAACCAAGAAGAAAATCATGATGTTTATTAACTTATTGATGATGTAATCTTTATTGTTTTATACTTTAATAAAAGATAAAAACAACAACAGAAGAATCATTGTGTTTTTGTTTGTTGTTTTTTGACATTCGTCTGAATAATGAACTTTTGTACAGATTAAAACAAAGGAACCGTAATATTATAATGATATATATATATATATATATATATATATATATATACGCTTAAACAAACAAACTGATCATTATTGAGAAGATCTATGAAGGTACAACATCATTGTTTTTTTTAATAGTAAATATGAACATGAAAAGTTAATATATGTGATATTATTAGTGAATAATTATAATTTTCATTACATAATCAACACCTCAAAAACAAAACAACAAAAAAAAAAAAACAGGTTTATTTATATTATAAATATCAATAATTTAGGATGATTAAATTGATATGTAGAAAGTTTTTTATTTAATATTGTTTATTATTAAGTATATCATATTTTTGTAACAAAACCTATTTTGTATGGTTTTATTATTTAAATATGAAATAATTGTTTTATTGAAATAAGCAAATTTGAACTCTTGTTACCTACCTACTTACACACACATACATACATACATACAAAATATCGGCAAATGAGAGGTGAAATGAAAAAAAAAACAATAGATTTCATAAAACCCAGAAGAAGGATAATTTACAAATAGATAAATAAAACATGCAAAATTCGAGAATAGAATCACTGTACAATTATCACTTAACTTTTCCTTCTTTAGATAAATTTGAAAAGAAATTAATTTTCAGAGCAATATCTGATTTTGAAATAGATGTAGCAATTTTTGATTTTGTTGGAACTTTATGAAAGTTGTGATGTGTATTAATAGTTGTTGTGTCTGTTGTTTTACTATTACTACTAACAATCTTGTTAGTAGTATCAGTTGTGTTCAATGTTGTTTTTGTTTTACCAGTTGATAATTTCTCTTTTTCATTGGGTGTATTCTCTATTGATTTTGTTAGTGGAGGATTAGAGGTTGAAATTGGTGGCAGTGGTGATGTTGATGTGGAGGATTTTTTATCTTTTACAATGAAGGGATTCGATTGTTTCACATTAGATTGTATTATTTTCGATGCACTATTTTTTTTCTGAATTTTAAATACAGATGTTGACGAAGTAGAAGTGTCCTTTTGTTGTTTAGGGATAGTTACAACTGTTTCCGATTTACTTGAGGATCTGGAATTTGGTTCACTTGTTACACTAATTTTAGGTATAATCGATGGACTATCTGATGATGTTGACTGTTGACTATTTTTATGCCGTTGTAAAACAAAACCTTTACCACTTTCTTTACGTTTTAATTTAAGTGATAGGTCTAATTTATTTTTATGCGATGCTGACGGATCTGGTAAGTTTTCATTAGCTTTATTTTTTGTTTTAGTTCCATCATTACTAGTACTATTACTAGTGGTGTCATCTTTTCGTGTTTTACCAAAGAAACTGGTTTTTCTAAATATACCTGAAGGTTTCTTCATTAATTCCATTGGTGAACTTTCTTTACTGACTGTTGGGGGTGGTGTTGGGCTACTTGATAATAATTTATGTCCAGTGACTTGCGGAAGTTTAGGTCGTTTAGTTTCATTTTCAAATGATCTATTTATACCATGTATAGATAGACTCGGATGTCTTGATTGCAATATTGGTGAGTGTTGTAGTACAACACCCATACGTTGTAATGCTATAATCGCATTTACTGCTTTCTAAAAAGAGAATAAATACAAAACAATCAAACCGTCATACGAAAGCTCTATTTGATAAATAGGACAGTAGATGATAACATGAATTAGGAAAACAGTAAAAAATCTTTTAGTAATTCTAGATTTCAAACCAATTCCATTGGTAATTGTTTGGGTCTTCCCATAGATGTTTAGGACTACAATTGATCAATCTCGGGACTTAGTAGCTTGGTGGATAACGAGATGGCGTTTGAACAGGAAGGTAATGGGTTCAAGTCCCTCAGTGGCAATCAAATTTGGGATGTGGTGGGTTCATCTGACGAGTCCCAAAGGGGACGAAATGCGCGTCCTAGATTCCATTGTTAGCTACTATTTATCTCTTCTTACAATTTCATTGTTTTTCCTAAGACTGGTCAAGAGGTCTAACTTTTTGTATACGACTGACATCAATATTTCGAAGTTACCGTATGTCTTTGATATTGATACTTGTTAACCAATCCTAAAATACAAGTTTAAGTGCTTTTATAGCTGAAAAGCTATACAATATCAGGAAGTATTTTACAGTTGTTTCATTATTGTGTTGCTACTCCTGAGTATGGTTTACTCACGACCTCAGGCACAGTCACACATAGTTCCTGTAGTTTTTTCGCCGATATATGTCAGTGATTATCTTCACAAACCATTCAGTTAAATAATAATTGTTTGCTAGTGATTAGCTTTGAGATGGTATCAATATTCCAAGTGACTTGACATCGCGTAGACTATTTTGAGTTGATTAAAGGTGACCGGTAGGACGACAGAGACTTAAGTTTCTTGCTAGTTGACACTCTTCGGCAAGGTGCACCTACAGTCTTGAGAGGACTGAAACTGTCTTCAACTACGTCAAATGACACGCTACTTAACATCTCTGCATGATCTTAAGAAACAGACAGAATTAGGAAATGTGGACCACTGATTAGTGATGGGATTATAAGACACTTAACTGAAGACCGGTCGTCTTTACATGTTAAGGCTCAGATACTCAAGACTGAAATTTTTCTAATTTAAATGAAACGACTATCCAATGCAATCTACTTTATTTCAATCCCTGGTGCAAACTAACTTCAAATTAGAAAATGTCCGTAAACCATCTATTTTAGCAATGATGTCCTTAACTGAAATTATTTGCCAATCAGATCTTAAATATTACCTCAATATATGCACCACAGGTAAAATATTTATTTACAAAATAAATGGTACAGGACATCATATTTGATAAATCATACAAACTAAATAATGAAGAAAATGCTAGTTCTCTCACACAATCACTTACTTGCCATTTACGTCGATAAACAAAATGTTTTAGACGCTTTTTACTGACTGTTCCAGAACGTGATGGTGTCTTTTTCTTTTGCTATAGAAAAACACGTAAAGAATTTATTAAATAAATGTTAAGAATTAAAAAAGGTGATCAAAGAAATTACAAAGAGAATAACCGTGTAAAGTGAATTGTGTATATTGAATGGCGATTTTCAATGAAATACAAAGTAGTTTGAAAAAATGTATATGTATATTTGTAGTCTCAAAAGTTTTCTCTTCAGGAGTAAACTCGATTGTGAACAGCTTTTTTAAAACTTATATTTAGAACTTACAGATCTTGCCAATTATAAATCATCATTAGAATTGATAGACTTTGGGATCGTTCAAAATATTGCTAGTAATGATAGAAACATCATATCTATTGATTATGTCACTGACCAACTAAACTTAGCAGCTCAGTGTATAACTTGTTGAGCGTTTGAAATGAAATGTACTGGGTACGAGTCTTAAAGTAAACATGAATACTAGGATGTGGGTATCTCCTTTAGGACATCAGTCCATGAAATTAATGGTTGTTAGACTGAGCCACTATTATTAAGTGCATGCTACCTTGTTTGGTCACGCGCGATAGGTGTAGCAAACGACATAGCGCAAAATCAACATAAATGCACTCGCTCTTTGTCTCCCTCCTAAACTTTTTATTTCAAGAATCTATTCCTCATGAATTTATTTTTGATGCCTAATGTTTTCTACTACAAAGGATGTAATAAATAACTGCCTTTACTATTCTGACATTTATCTTGATAATACCATGTGATGAACTGGATATAACACATATTTGCCAGTTTTTACTTTACTTATGATCAAATGACTAAGTGACTATACAGAAAACTGTTAAAAACCAGAAACCGATTGAGCAGCTATCTTGTTGTACTACTGGACTGCTCATCAGTGTACAACAGTTCCATACTTATTACTACTAGACCAAATGAATTGTGGAGATTAGTTCAATGTAAAGAAAGTATATGAGAAAGAAGTTTAGTTTTCAATAATTTTCCATCTAATTATCAGTCTATGATGTAAAATATTTCTACAGAAAGTAATACTTTTTTAATAGTTGAGAGAATGGGCCAATTGAAGCTAGACCACCATGGAAAACCTGGAAACTTCGAATCTCACGAGGTGCGGTCGTGGATGCGCACTGCTGAGGAGTCCCGCAATAGGACGAAACAAACTCTTAGTGCTTTCAGGTTTTTCATGGTGGCCTGGCTTCAATTGACTCATGATCTGAACTATTAAAAAAAATACTATAATATCCACAAAACCCCTTCTTATACTAATATATTTTTTGTTTATTAATTACAAAATAAACAGTATTATACATTATGAAACATTTACCTTTAACCATTGATGTTGTAGACATTCGGTGGCTGTCATTCGTTTTCTATAAGCAAAAAAAGAAGGCACAAGTAATATGTTTTATTGACATATATAGATAAAGAAAAGAAAACAGATATTAATAACTATACATTATGGAAAATGAAAAGAAATATAAATTCTACATTTACACTGAATTAATAATTCGTCAATTATTTTATTGGTCTCATTTTAAGTATCAAGTATTATTCTTGACATATATCTGTGTTTGTGTTTTAATTTCTCTTATTACAACCCATCTATTCCTATTATTTAGTATTCTTGGACACCAATTCACTCGATAAGTCCCAAATCAGAACACGGTTGAACAGGAACGAAATTATATTCCAAATAACAAGATTAGATGGAAGTAAGAAGCGCAGTAGGAAAAACGTTGGTATATATATAGTTTTTACATGAGAAGATTCTAGAGTGTTCTCCAAGTATCGACTAGCGCTGATTACACAAGAAACAGACAATCAGCGTGCACCAACACAATTGTGCACAGAACGTGCTTTAATCCAATCTATGTCCGATTAACAGTTTGTCTCTAAAAATATATATTATTCATCTAACACGTAGAAGTTTATGTACTCAGATTTGTTTGATCTGCAAATTATTTTGTTTGTATATTAAGGCTAGTGATAATATTTAGATGTCTGAACTGAATTAGATGAAGCTACACTCCAACCCAGTGATCGATTCGTTTAGCCGCTTACCTAAAATATTTGGATCATTTACTCCCTAACTATAAAAGATATTATCCTTGTTTTGCCTGAAGAATGCTTGACTGACATATACTTTGTACTGGCACACTGAATCGAACGAGAACACAAAGAATGGTGGTACGGATTTATTTGACGACGGAAATATATCAACATCTTGAATGAATACACTACAAATTCGTGTATAGAAGACAGCTGACAGACCCATTTCAAGTGAGAACCAGAGTCAGACAAGGCTGCTTACTGTCCCTCTTTCTCGTTCTTTTGGTGGTTGACTGATTTATGAGGGCCTCCACATCTGAAGGGAAGCATGAGATACAATAGACAACTGAGGTGCAACTAGACGACTTGGACCCTGCAGATGACCTAGCTCTTCTATCCCATACACGCCAACAAATGCAAATGAAGATAAGTAGTGTAGCAGCAGTCTCTGTATCAATAGGCCTCAACATGCACAAAGGAAAGAGCAAGATCCTCAAATACAACACGAATAACACCAAAGGAATCACACTTGATAGAGAAACTCTGAGTGAGGTGGAATATTTCACGTACTTGGGAAGCATCATCGATGAACGATGAGGATCCGATGCAGGTGAAAATGCGAGGATTGGTAAAGTAAGGGCAGCATTCCTATAGTTGAAGAATACATGGAACTCAAAACAAATGTCAACCAATATCAAAGTCACAATCTTCATTACGAACGTCAAGATAGTTCTGCTGTACGGAGATCAAACTTGGAGAACTATCACAACCATTACCCAAATAGTATAGATATTTATAAACAATCGTCTGCGCAAGACACGGAATTTCCGTTGACTGGATATCATGAGCAACAGCCTACTGTGGGAGAGAACAAACCAGTTTCCAGATGAGGAGGAAATTAAGAAAAGACGTTGGAAGTGGATAGGAAATTACTAAGATGGAAATCACTAAACTGCATTACGAGGCAATCCCTCATTTGGAATTCTGAAGAGAAATGGAAAAGTGAAAAGCCAAAGAAGACACTGTGTCGAGAAATGGAAACAGACATGAAAGGGATGAATAGCAAACGCTGCTGGGTAGTTTATGCTCCTCCACGAGGGTTAACAGGCGTATGTAAGTTTCTTTTCATTTATTTCTACTCCGAACTCATCGAGAGTAACTGCTTGTAATTGTGTTAAATAGAGTATTATCTAGTCTATACTCACTTTGGTTCTCCATTCTGAGCCGTGTATCCTGGATCTGATATAAAGTAACTAGTCTTCTTATCGTAATAATGTATTATTGTAGTACACTTTGTAAGAGAAAAAAATATTTTAAACGATCAGTTATATCAGTATTAGTTACCTTGGATCTTTCACTAAAAGTTTCCGAATAAAATCCATTGCATCATTTGAAATTTCTGCAAATTCTGCATAATCGAAATTGTATTTCACTCGTATAATATTAGCTAATGTTTCTCCTTGACTTTCACCCATAAATGGGGATAATCCAGAAAGCCTAATAATATTAGGTAATAGGTTATTTAGAAAAGAAACATAGGTTATGAATAAACATGGATAAACAGCGGTTTCAAAATATGCTAAATATGAAAATTCAGTTATTAGTGAGGACAGGAGTCAGACATGGCTGTTTACTCTCCCCCCTTTCTCTTCCTCCCGGTGTTTGGCTGGATTATGAAAGCTTACACATCTGAAGGGAAGCACGGGATGCAAAGCCCGCTACAAATGTTCGTTAGTTCAAATTATAAAGTTTCATTAACACGACAAGATGAAAATAATAAAGAAGACTGATCAGTATGATAATAATTATAATGAGAAAGTAAATATTAAGAATATACTTCGAAAAGAGAGTGTAAGGTATATATGATGGAATGGTGAGATTTGAAGTTTAAAGATAAATAGTGAATAAATCAATGTCAATGTAACTAATTCTAAACTTTCGTCCAAAAAAAACAATTTTTTACAGATTGAATATATATAACTCACAAATGGTGTAAGGAGAGACTTGTTAAATGTCCAGTTCATTGTTCCCTCACCAAAAGGTATGAAGTTAATATTGGCAGAGTTATTTTTTGTGATTAAACAAGATATAAAGTCAGTTAGTTATAAGTAACCTAGACCTTAGCCTATAGATGCATTGGTTCAAGTTGCCATACCACAATAAAACACAACGAGATTAAATTGTCAAGATTGGCGGTATAACTAGTGATAATATCGGAGTGGTAAAGAAACTAAACATAGTGTATCTAAATACAAAGGAAAGAATGGGTTAGCAGAATAGGAAAGTATAAGATAACTTCCAGACTCAAGATCTAAGTGACAGCAAAGGATGGGTAAATCGTTGCCATTAAGACTTATTCTGAATTATGTCATCCAACGCCTCCAATCACTAGTTCCGGTTACTATATGATCCTCAACCTGATAGTCTGAACTTACTGACACGGGTTAGACTATATTTTTATCCGATCGGATCACACTCTCAATATCAATATAACTAGTACTTGCTATGCATTTTTTTCAAAACGCGAATCAAATATACAAACTGAACAAAAGACAGAACAAAATATGTTTTCACTGTTTAAATCATGAACTGATCTTGGTTAGATCACAACTGAAAACCTGGAAGGGGCGAACTGCTGTCTCGTTCTACTATGAGACTGCTCGAGTGTGTATCCATGATCCGGCATCCGGGAACCGAACCCAGAAATTTCAGTTCTGAGCCCGAAACCTAACCTCCAAATTACTGAGCCCGCACTCAGTGCTACAAATGTCTGGCTTTCAACAATTCACGATATTGTATAACAGTCATCCATCGCTTTTTGTGGACAACTGTCTCACGCCCGAGAAAATTGAAATCAACTTGTCACAGCTTTTTACTAGAATTCCAGAAATCTCATCATAATTACTATTTGTGTAGAGGGAATTTGTCGAGATCGCAGAATTTTCATGGCTCGATTCCCCAATGCGGAATAATGGATGCGTCCTGTCAAGAAGTCTCATACTAGGACAAAACAGCTATCGACCGACAAAATAATAGTAATTACAAAACCGTATTCTGTTACATTAAACTACAGATTATTACTAATATACGTAAACGCCTATCCAGTTTATTTTCTTTAGAAATTATATCAGAAAATATATAAACTTACATTACATAACATATTACACCAAGCGACCACATATCAGCTGCAGGTGAGACTGGTTCATATGAGATTACTTCAGGTGAGACAAATTCCGGTGTACCAAACAGAACACACAAATTTTGATCTTGATAAAATCTAGCTAGTCCAAAATCAATAATTTTTGTTTTAAAACTGGTCGCCGATAAACATAATATATTTTCAGGCTATAATAAAAGATGTAAATAAATGAATGAAAAGAAATATTTTTTTCGTTATTAGTTCACTTGCAGTATAGATACATTTATATGTAATAGATTGAAATTCTATGATAAATATTTGTTAAAATTACTCTATTCGAGTTGAACAGTTTAGTCTTAAAGCTTTTCACCACTTACTAGCTAATATCATCAGTATAAACTTCAAACAAGAATAAGTTAAATTCACTTAGTGTTGTTTTATTTTTATATTCCCATTGTTATTTAGGACTGCAATTAATCAGTCTCATAAATTTCCATGGTGGTCTAGCTTCAATTGACTCATGATCTCAACTATTGAAATTACTACAATCTCCACAAAACCCCTTCTGATACTAATCAACATATGCTCACTAGTGACTGGCTTCAAGAGATACATCCTGGAGTTCTAGTGAGAAGTAATGACCAGTGGAGTTCAACCGGATCAGTTGTGAGATAGTAACTCATTGATGACAATGGTTGATGTGTCGCTCAATTTCGTGGATTAGTTGAAGTAAAACATTAACACCGTTGGATGCCGGCCAGCTGAGTGGTCTAGTTGGTTAAGTGCTTGGCACGAGACTGAGAGGTTCCGGGTTCGAATCTCGCGAGGCGGGTTCGTGGTTGCGCATCATCGAGGAGTTCCACAGCAAGACGAGACGACCTTCCAGTGCTTCCATGTTTTCCATGATGATCTAGCTCCAATCGACTCATAATCTCTACTGTTGAAATTACGACAATCTCCACAATCTCCCTTCTGATTATAAGAATTCCTTTAAAAGTGAACTGTACTTTATTCACTCTAAAGTTTTTTCTTATGATGTTATGTCTAGATAGACAATGAAACCTTCATGATTAAATCACTTCAATCTGACAATACAATTTCAATGAAATCATCTTCTTGTACTACAAACTATTTTCATTATCTATGGAAAATTTTAATAATAATATTTTATGCTGTATCTTATCAGTAGTATTAATTGATGTCTGATAATTTAATATTTACTTAGAAATTTATTGCATTCAATAAAGTTACAGATCAAAATCAAGTCACATGATCAGAAACGGGAAATTAATGAATTAATTAACTAACTAATTAATTAATTAATCAATTAATCGATTAATTAGTTTCTTAAAGTTAATTAATATATGCAATTAAAATCTCTTTGATTGGTAGTATTTTCAAATTAGAATAACATATATGAATTTATGTATAGTTTAATGAACTGTGCCTTAGATCTGTTATATTTTGTAATATAATTATAAACAATTAATTATGAAATGTTTTATATATTTTTTTAAATATTTTTAATATGCCCTATCAGTGTAATTGACAGGGTTAAATATTATGTAATTTTTCTTAATGAACAATATATTTTGTTTTTGTTATATCCCGATGAGAATAATGAATGGTAACAGTTGGGATTCATTTATGGACTAATATTGTACGTATATTTTTTACTGAATAATTGGTAAATAAGTAGAATATTCATATCTGTGTTCCTTTTATTATAAGCTTCATTTTGATCTATGAACTATTATTATACGATTTACCATTCGTCAGTTATGCCCAGTCTATCAACTACAATCTCCCACATTCCCAGTCACATTTAGCCAAATCTTCTACAAATGTTGTATTCTACATTATTGGTACGATGTAGTCTGTTTGGTTTGTATATAAACCTAATATATTTGAAATACATGATTCATGTCTCAGAGGCTGAGATTGGTGTTCTGGACTTAACAGGTATGGCTAAGCAGGAAACAGGGGCGATAAAGACTCTAGACTGTTCGTACGGGTTTTATGCATCACTGGTCCGTTCGATAAATCACTGTTCTCTAATTGGCGTTATCATTACGTTATACATTGATAAGGGCACATAACCACAAGTTATAACAGTTTTAGGAGGATTTATGATAAATAATCACATTGTGATGTGTGCTACTGATGTCGTCAGATATAAGTAGTATGTATCAGCAATTGAAAGAGAAATGCCTAGCTGCAGAAGGTTAACAAAATGGAAGAGAAGAGAACGAGAACAGAGAATGATTAGTATGGAAACGAGGAAACAATAAAGTCTGAAACAATTGATGAATATTTTGCAAATGAAGTATTACTGTATGGTTCTCAGATTTGATTAAGGCATTCTGTAATGTTGTATTTCACAAACACTTGGTTGTGTTTTCGTTCACTGCAATATGAGATGCTATATTTAAGAATATTTAGAAGAGAGATTGTAGCATCCATGACTAAGAATAATTAATAATATGATCTTCAAAACAAAGAACTATTTTGTTATGTATATTATTGATTCTAAGTAACATTTATTATCAACTGGTATAACTTGTGTAACAGGACAAGAGATGTAATTAGTTCATTTAAGTTTGAAACTATTCAACAATGTACATCATTACAAAACTATTGTGCCTTAGGTCTCGTAAAAAGTGGCTAATATTTGGATTCTAATTAGGAATTCAACATCCCATATTTTTAGATATCACTTGATTATTAATTTGCCACTATCTTTAGAGATTCACTACCATATACCTCAATTCTAATGAATTGAATATACATGATGTGAGACACACAATATGTGCATTTCTAATTTATCACCGATGGAAAAATATGTAATACAATAAGTATCAATTCTTAATGAATTTAGGTTAGTGAATTCAATGTTTGCCACTGTATCATAAACATTTAGTAGCTCTAGCATCTCTGAATGAGTATATTTCACACAATCGTTGATCTAGCCAAACGATCAGAGAAACGAAGAGAAGAGAGCGAAGCGAAATGGCACTCGGTGAAGAAGGTATGTAAGCAAATTCACTTTAATTAAGCATTACTCAACATTTATAGTCAAACTAAATAAGGCAAGGCAGGGCGAGGGCGAAGCAAGTAATTAATGAGGTCAAAACATGACTCAAGAAGAATGAATAAATTGGCCTGTCCGGAAGCTAGAATAAGCTATGTGGGTTTGACACAGCAACCGACACTAAAAACAGTTTTATGTATCGTTTAGCTATAAGAGTTTACAATTAACAAGATGTTTTTGAAATAAGTTTTCATATGTGGATATTTGGAGATAGATTAAATCACACACATGTGATGAAAACTACAAAACACTTGAAAGCTGTTTCATCCCTGTTCTAAAGTTCATCAATATCATACACTTTCAAATCCATACGAGGCCAAACTGTTGAATTTATAGTCACACAAATGTTATAATAATAACATTTTATAAAACAACTCAACAGAAATTCGGCTATTTATTTGTGACCAAAATTAGTTAATTCTCAATATATTGAGTTAGTCGCCAAATCCTGTTAGCAAATAACACATATGTCAATTCTTTTGTTTACAGCTTTAAATTATCTACTGCTACTATTATTACCACTACTACTACTGGCAGTAGTATGGTGTATGCTACTTATGTTGACAGCTATAAGTAGTATGCAACACCAATTGGAAGAGGAAAATCAGGCGTCAGAAGATTGGAAAGATCGAATAGAAGAGAACATGAACAGAAAGTGATTGATATGGAAACGAAAGAACAACAAATTCTGAGACAATTGATTAACAATTTAAAAATGAAGGATTGAATGTATGGTTTTCACATTTAAAGAAAAACTCTTCAATTTTATGTTAAGAGATTTTTGGTCGTTCCCACCTGTTTACGTTCATTAAACTATCACTAGTTAAGTAATTAAGTAAAAAATATTCAATGATTAAGATCATGAGTAAGTTGAAGCTAGACCACCATGGAAAACCTGGAAGCACTGGAGGGCCGTTTCGTCCTATTATGAGACTCCTCGGAAGTGCATATCCACGACCTCGCCCCCTGCGAGATTCAATTTCGTGGATTAGTTGAAGTTAGACATTAACACTGTTGGATGCCGGCTCAGTGGTCTAGTGGTTAAGTGCTCGCGCGCGAAACTAGTAGGCCCTGGGTTCGAATCTCTCAGGGGGTAAGGTCGTGGATGCGCACTGCTGAGGAGTCCCATAATAGGACGAAACGGCCGTCCAGTGCCTCCAGGTTTTCCATGGTGGTCTAGCTTCAACTGACTCATGATCTTAATCATTGGAATTACTACAATCTCCACAAAACCCCTTCTGATAAAAAATGTTCGTAAATAATTCATCAACACAACATTAATTAAAAGTAAAACCAATAAAACATTTCAATGACAGATGAAATAAAAACAAAACATGATTTATCACTAGTGAAGTTAATAATAGATTTGTTACGTAACTTGCAGTTCTCTTTCTCTCCCCTCCTCTCTCTCTCTCGCTATATATATATATATATATATATATATATATATATATATATATATATATATATATATATATATATATATATAGCTTGATTTATGATCAAGTTTCGTTAATTTTGATCAGTTTTTTTCATATTTTCTACATATATCAAAAGAATCATTAATATCACTACTCATATCTTGTTAAACTAAATGTGATTTCATGATTTTCTCTTTATTATTGTCTAGTGTTACCAACTGTGAACGTAAAAGTGAAATCTTTTTTTTAGGAATGAATGAATTTGTTGAAGATTTTTGTTGTCCCAGGAAGTATTTTCATCATGAACTGATATGAGATGGAGTACAACTGTTCAGTGAGATAATAATGTATTGATTTGGGACAAAATCTAGTTATGCTTTTCATATTGAATGGTTTCATTTGTTTTAGACTATACAAACCTGTGATTTATCTGTAGAGACGAACAATGTTTCATTAAAGTGATTATGAAAAGTTAGATCTAGCTATTCAAAATACTACATTATTGTATTTGTTTGAATGTAAGTGAATAAACAGTTTGCTTTCAAGTGGTTTGAAAGAGATTTATCAGCATTCAGGACTAAACAAATATAACATGGATCAATACTCAGTGATCAATTAATATAAGTATTTTAATTCAACAGGATGTCGGTTGTAGTCCGAACAGCACATTTGTAACTTCTCATCTTATGAAACTGAGCGACGTGAATTTATACTTTACAGAAAACACTAGTTCCCACAATACTGTAGGTACGTCTTACTGATAGGTACCAGCTAACACAAATCTTAAATTCAAGGTTTCTGGCTGAATGCTTTCAACTACCTTGCTCTTAATTCATTACACTATTGGAGCTAGAGCATTTGTGTATTACAGTAATTAATGTATATTTCGGCAGATAAGTTTTTATTCAGGAGTTCACAATTCCAAGTTCATTTAGTTTATGAAATAAATTGCTCATTATCTACTTTCGTCAATGATTTCAATCTACCCCTGAACATGATTGAATGAAAATCGACGAAAGACTAAAGGTTTTACAATCTTAACTAATGATGAAAGGACTTCAAAAATGATATCATTATCATTTTTATCTGAGTTTCATGTTGACATTAACACTACACAGCAAACCACTAAACAATTTTTTGTATCTGGATAAAGTACTGTTACTGATTGCTACATGTTATATCCCGCTGACGTAACTGGTTACTTACCCCCTTGTATAACTAAATAAGGACTAATACAGCTTGACGCGAAGAATAATGCAAGACTGTAGATAAGGATTTATTTTCAGAAGGGGTTTTGTGGATATTATAGCAATTTTAAAAGTTGTGAACATGATTCAATTGAAGCTAGACCATCATGAAAAACATGGAAGCACTGGACGGTCGTTTCGTCTTACTATGGGACTCCTCGGTGGTGCGCATCCATGATTCCACCTCGCGAGATTCGAACCCAGGATCTAACAGTCTCACGCGCGATTGCTTAACCACTAGACCGTTGATCTGGCCGGCGTCCATTGATGTTAATGTCTAACTTCAACTAACCCACGAAATTGAGCGACACATCCACCATTTATGTATCAACAATAGACTCACTATAGCTTCAATCCACAATTACATAATTGATTAATAAAGTATGTCAAAATGACCTGGAACGTTATATGATTCACTTATTTAGTCAAAATACAGATTCCAATATATAGAACTAAGCAGTAGTTGATTTAAATTGACTAATAATTAAATACATGTATACACTTTACAACAGCAACAACAACAAACTTAACTATATTAGCTAACAATATGAAAACGTTTTTGAGTTCCTAACTCAATTAGATAATACAACTAATAGAAGTTGAATTTACCTTTAAATCAAGATGTATCACATTTTGCGAATGCATATATTCAACACCTTGAAGAATTTCATGCATAAATTTTATACATCTAGATTCATTTAGATTAAATGATTCATCAATAATTCGTTCAAACAATTCACCCCCTGTGATCCTGTAATAATAAATGAATAGAAATAAAATCAATATGATCAAGGTGAAATATAAGTTAAATTAAAAAGAAATATCAGCAGTGCGAATCCACAACAGCGACGCGGGACTCGAGCCAAAGGGCTTCGATCTTACACGTGAACGCTTAACATCTAGACCATTGAGCTGGACACTATCCAACGGTATTAATTTTTAACTTCAATCGATCCATACTAGGACGAAACAATCGTCCACTGATTACAGGTTTTCAATGATGGTCTAATATCAATCGATTCAGAATCTCAATCATAAACTTAACAATCTCCAAATGTTAGACGTTCAATTTGAGTATGTTAAATAAGCTTACTATTAATGAGTTTAACTAAATAGATCCAAAAGATGTATCATGGTTCAAGTAGTTCAATGAGAAATTAAAGTTTATTCGAACTAGATCATATAACAGCATAATACGTTTTTCTTTTCAAGAAATCTGTTAAAGTATTCATGTGTGGAATGAAAGTCAAACATGTTACAATGTGATATGATTGGAAGAAAAATCAAAATTAGATTGGTTTACTCATTTTGGTTGAACATTACTTCCGTTTTAATTCAATGTGATGATTATTCAGTATAGTGTTCAGTTTTGTTTTCCTGTATGACCTTTTTATTCTGTATAACATACGATATTCTTGTATTCTATTGACATGATCTATACTCAGTATGTGATTTGTCATAACTGAGTACTTTATATATATATGATTTCATCCTAATTATTAATCAAAGTGTGTGTACAATCAATATATAAATGAGTGTATTTCCGACTAGGGTTGTCATCGTGTTTTGGGGGTTAATAATGCTTCAATTATACCAGCATTTGTGTCCTTACTTTCGCATCGTGGGAATTGCAGAGGTCCCTCGTTTCGAGTTTAAGTGATAAGCATTTCTGACACAACAATCAGCGATGAGCGAAGATCAAACATAACAAGTAGCGTTCAATCGACAAGACATATTACAATGTGAGATGTTCAAGTCTGTTATTGATTCACAAGCTTCCTATACACGACCTCAATCGAGCATTCTATTGAAAAGACTAAAAATGAGAATGGTTATTTATTCTTTGAAGAAGTAGCTTGCACTGAGTCACGAAACGTCAGAAAATCTAATTTTTCTATTCATTGGGATATTACAAACGTATTATTTATCTATATGAATGAGAAAGTTCATCGCTTAACCGAATAAACTCATCTCATTCCTTAAAAACGCAAAATATTTCTCAGCGAATAAAATTCATTTATCATTTGACCAATTCCTTATTAACCCTAATTTATCAAAACTGGAGAAGAGAACATAATAAAAGTAACAACAAGGAAAAATATTCATCACTATTGTCATGATAAGTTGAAGGTAAGAATATTTACTTTAATCAATGTTTCACAAATATGTTTTTTTTTTGCTAATTTGTAGTCCTTTATCATCTCCTTAATTACCTGGTAAATCGAACTTATTCTGATGGGTTCACTCACTTCTGAAAGATTGGAGTCCTAAGCTTCTAAAAATTGTCTGGTCTTTTTGTGGTACATCTGATCAATGAAAGCTTAAAGAAAAATGTTTCAATAAGATCTTTATTTAATAGAAAAACCTGGTAGATTAGTCTAAACTACTAGACTTTTATGTATCTAAATTTCAAATCATAGTTGTCCTAGGGTTTAAGATAATGTATGGAATCACAGATGTACCAGACAACTGATCTGTCAACAAATAAATAAATTTACCTTTCAACGAAAATATGTTAGTGGTATATTAAATGAATATTGCATGCCAACAAACTAACCAGAGGTTAAGGAAAAATAGCTAATGTTGCATTCTTATATGATTTATTTCAGTTTTTACCTTATAATAGTGAATAACTTTTAAAAATCATTATACAATTTGCAAAATGAATGCCTTTGTTTTGGTTACAGTATTTTGTTTGAATTAAGAAACAATATAACTTATTTGCCTAAATTCTTAAGAGATCCCAGATACTCGACAGTGTGATAAGTAGAAAGAATGTTAACTGTAGTACACTTAATCATTCTAAACGGTAGTCACTTGTTCTTTGGATTCAATACTAGTTTGTACTGGCGATTATGATAGCATTTTTGTTCATAACTAGTTGATACAATATTCCTGGTTTTATTGATTTGTTTACTCCAAAAAACACCAGTTTAAAACCAACACATGCTTCCAGTAGAATTACATATATAATCCTAACCAAATATTTAGAAGCAATACATTAATTAGTAGAGTAATTCAACATAGTACTGGATTTTATTCACTCACTACTTGATTCAAACAAATTCGATATTCATTACCAATACAATTCAATACAGAACTAAATTAAATTATCTTCTGAAAAGATCTGGTCTGTCATCAACAAGTCCATTATAAAAAATGTTTATTTAGCTTAAATATACAGGAAAACAATCAAATAAACAGTTTCAGCCCCGGTGAATTACTCAATAGTCTAGTTGTTAACTCAGTTGAAAACTGTTTTATTTGTTAATAAAATAAAATAAAATTAGTTTATGGAATCGTTGAATACCAATAATTCATTAGTTGAAACATGTTCATGTCCATATACTTTAAAACTTCGGTTTCTTTAAAATATTCTAAGAAAAAGAAAGAAGCTAAATTCTAATTTAATTATGAGAATAAGGATTTGTGGAGATTGTAGTAATTTTAATAGTTGAGTTAATGTGTCAATTTAAGTTAGATCACCATTAAGAACCTGAAAGTACTGGACAGCCTTTTCGTCCTAGTATGGCACTCCTCACCAGAGCGCATTCACAGTTTCTCGAGAGGGACTCGAACCCAGGAGCTTTGATCTCAAATGTGAACGCTTAACCTCTAGACCATTAATCTGGACGATATCCAACGGTGTTAATGTCCAACTTTAATTGATCCATGATCTTGTAAAAGCCTTCATCCACTGTCTGAAATGAATAACTGTCTCCACCTTACACGGATTAGATTCTATTATCAGAAAGAATTCTAATAAATTACTGAAGATCTAGTGAAAATATTTTTGTTAATATCACTTTTTAAAACTAATTAAGAACGAGTTTTTTCTTAAAAATTATTTTATAATGAATAAGGTGTAAACAAATGACATACTATTAATGAGTCTAAACTCCCACATTTTATCAAAATGTTACCATATTTTAAAATGGATAATTAAAACAAAATGTTTCAATGATATTTTTTTTAAATATTCCCTACACTGAAATAAGAGAAAAACTCATCTAAAAATTGTGGACAGATGCTGACTTTCATTTTAAAACTATTTTATCATAATAAGCAAGGATGGATAGTGGATAACAGTGAAATCCAGGAAGTGCGTTTCGTTCTATTTAGGACTCGTCGGCTGCGTATACCTACATCTCAGAGTTGACGTTCACTTCGGGACTCGAAACGCAGGTACATTTATTTGACGAGTCCCAAATATGACGTAGGAGATCAGGTTAATTTATTGTAGACTGAACTGAATGAGGTATTATTCAAATTTATTTTAGCAGTGTTAATACCCTGTTGACATATTCAACTTATATTCTCATATGATTGCTTATTGTTCACTAGGGGTGCTAAATGATGCACCAATTAACCTATTTAAAATGAGTGTTATGAACTTTTGTGTAAGGCTATTACATACTGGATTGACAGAATTGCACATAATGATAAGAGGAGATTAAATACAATGAATAATGACTGTGATATATCACGAATCGATAATAGTTGGAAAGTATGAACCATTGAACATCAAGTCGGACGTTGAATTATTATCAATTTTTCTAATAAGACCTGATGACTTAGCTCAGCACTGATGATGACATTAAAACATTAAATAGTAGCCTAAGAAAAGTATAGGTATTGTATCATCAAAAAAAATCGCACAAAGTATCAGAAGATTCAGTTCACCTTGAATTACTGACTCAAACATTTAATAATCTCAATTTAAGTATTAAGCATATTTTACACTGGACATACTTCATCTAATAAATAGTACTAGGGAAATTAAAATGATATAAGTTTGACTGGAAGGTTTGTGAAATTAAATTAGAGTTAACTTTCTTTACAGACTGATGACATTCAGACGAACTATCAAAGCTAAAAAGCGCTACGCAACACATTTATTGAAGTATAGATGAGACCTGAACTCCTGGTTACAAGTTTTCGTTCGTGAAATTTAACTGGGTCAAGAGTTCAGCAACTACTCACAAAAGACATCGGACAATATCAAGTATATCCCTAGTGCATTCGATAACACTCATTTTCATTCAAGTTATTTGTATTACTATTGGTTTATAATGAAGTTGAAGTTTATTTAAAATATGAAATTGAATATTTAGTACTAGTATAGCATTGGATCAATGTTGTTCTCTTGTATTTATGAGGAACGGAAACTAAGACAACACATCATTTATGAAGAAAGCTCTAGGTAATTACGGACAGTTTCTAATCTCAAAAGACGTTTTTACTGAATGCCACCATAATCAATGAATAGTGCTTTTCATGTATTGCATGGGATTTACTAACGCACTATGAATTATTAACTTACCGGTTTCAAAACTTTAGTGAATAGAAATTTGAGTAAATGCAATGATAAACTAAATGATTATCATTTGATTGAGATCACGAAAAAATCTAATCTGGATTACCATTGAAAATTTAGAAGCACAGGACAACTGTTAAAGCTTAGTACAACACTCCACACCAATACACATCCACAACTCCAAAACCGAGGACTGACCACCAGACATTGAGTTCCAAGTGCAAATGACTAACCTTTACACCTTCAAGCCAGTATCTGACTGTGTTAATGTCTAACGTTAATCAGTGATACTGTGCAACCATCTGCCAGTATCTTTGGTGGATACCTTCCTTACAAGCGACATGGTTAATCACTAAAACCCTCATACTGATAAATCTTTGATATTTTCTACCGTAAAACATTGTTACTTAGCAAATTCGTGTGAATGTACAATCTAGTCAAGAGAATCTATCTCTAAACGTTCCTAAATTAATATATACTATTTATATGCTTTTTCCAAAGTTTTCTCAAAATTTTCTTAATTCATCTAAAAATTCTATCGCAAGACGGTAGATGGTTGTGTAGTATCGTGAAATGATTAAAATTAGACATGTAGACCATCGAATGCCGAATCATTAATCTATAGGTAAGTTTTAATCGAGAAATCTTTAACGTCATGGATTAGGTCCCCTGTAAGGTTGTGGATACTCACTGCATCCAAGAAGTCTCAATCTAATACGGAACAGATAACCAACGCTTCTTTCGTTCCAGTCTAACTAAGGTCAACTCGTAAAATAAATTATAAAATTCAATGGTCTTCAGAATCCCTTTGTAGAAATAAAAACTCTCTAAAACAAGATCAAATATATGTTAACTTACAATTCAAGAACAAGTGTAACTTCTTCATCAATTTGATATGCATCATATAATTGAATTAATCTTGGATGTCTTAATGTATTCATAACAGCAATTTCATTTAATACACTATTCATATCTTCTTCACTAGCGATTGGAACAAATTTTGCTGCAAATTCTCTTCCAGTCTTTTTTTCTTGACATCGTTTCACTTCACCAAATTTTCCACTGTAGAAAACAAATACAAAAGCTTAGAATTTTCTTTTCTGATTTAAAGGAATCAGTATTATAGTTTAAACAGTGATATCTATGCACCAATTTACAACAATCATAGAAAATAGTACTCTTCAGTAGATGAAACTATTGTATGTATAACATAATAGGTGTTTATCCTCGTACTTCATTATCGGAATATGTAGAGTTTTAGATACATTTCATAATTCTATGTAGATCGAAAGTAGGTCGGTAGAATACTTTTAAACTCTATGCTTCGAAAATATTCATTATAAAAACTACTAAGAATTTCAATTCATTTGGTGTTGTTTGCTTGTGTCTTCCCATTGTTGTATACGACTGTAAATTGATCAGTCTCTAATTGACATATGTGCATTCTATGCGTATTGCCTCGATATTGCCTTAAGTCATAAGCTTTATAAGCAAAGATGGATAGTGGCTAGTAGTGGGACCCAGGAAGTGCGTTTCGTCCTATCTGGGACACATCAGCTGTATGTGCTTGAATCCCAGGGTTGATGTTCAATCCGGGACTTGGATCCCGTACCGGGACTCAGTAGCTAAGTTGATAACGCGATAGCATTCGAAGTGAAGTGTACCGGGTTTGAGTTGCGGAATAAACGTCAACTCTGGGATGTCCCGTATATGACGAAACACGCTTCCTGGATTCCACTGTTGGCCACCATCCATCTTTTCTTATAACACTCAGAATTTCGTTGAAGAATTTCTCAATGTTTTTTTCAGTCTCACAGTTTTTAAAGACAATCTTGTGCAAGTATTCTAAAGTGATCATAGGATTTTTAATCAATAAGTGAACAGCCGAAAAGTTGGTACTAGACTGAGTTTCCTCAGTCAGTAACAAATTTTTTATTTTAATTCTTTCATACATGTTAAACTCTTCCATTGGTTGTAAAGTCAAAACTAGTATGCATTGTTAAAAATTGATTTAAATACATTACAGAATTTTCCATTCAGCAAGATATTAAGTTCACTATAGTTTAATTGAAATCCTTTAACCAATGGAACAGTAAGAAGACAAATATTCAGATTCATAATGACGTCAAATAATGGTTGACAGGTTAGTAATTTAACTTTAAATAGTATCAAAATACCCTGAAACTATTCAATCAATCTGTATAGTGAGCCAGTCAGTAGAGCCTAGCACATTTGTATATCGGTTTAAGTAGTTACACCATATTAGCATAGTGAAATGGAATGAATGAAACAAATTACTGAGTAGTAGAAGTAGTAACAGTACTACTATTATTGTAGTGAACGAGAACACAACCAAGTGACAACCAAGTGTTTGTGAAATACAACATTGCAGAATGCCATAATCAAATCTGAGAACCATACAGTAATACTTCATTTGCAAAATATCCATCAATTGTCTCAGAATTTATTGTTCCCTCGTTTCCATACTAATCATTCTCTGTTCTCGTTCTCTTTTCCATTTTCTTAACCTTCTGCTGTTAGGCATTTCTCTTTCAATTGCTGATACATACTACTTATATCTGACATCAGTAGCACACACCACATTATTGCTGTTATTATTACTAGTTGTAACAGCAATAGTAAAAGACAATCTATATTAAGATCATAAAACTTAGTATAAGTTCTAGGGCGCTAAAACTACCTTTTATAGTTTATCAAGAAATCAAAATTGAATATAAAAAAATGTGATAAGTGATTTTAGAAATGTAATACCCGCTCAATAGAAAAGTAGAACATAGTATCCAGTCATTGATTATCTTGGTGAATATTTAAAGCAACAAATCTTTCCTTCCATCACAAAAAAAAACAATCCATAAACTATCACTACATGATCATATAAGAAATCTTTTTACAGTATTCAAACTGGCTATTTTTCTGTTTTGTATTTTATATTCAAAACAAAAGGCAGAAAGAGATTGGAATAATTCAAATGGTAGGGTAAGACGTTGTTTTCAAAGTAAATTAATGAAAAAATCATGTACTTCATTTTCGATCCTATACTTTGTATCCACACTTTTCAAAAGATTGATTATTATTGTTTGTTGTGAAATTCCTAGTCTTTGTATAAATCTATCGCAACTCTGTTTCAGATATTGTCTCTTTATATGTTGGTGTTTTCTTTCATTAGGGAAATAGATGGAATTTTCTAATAAAAATGATTTATGTATATTATCATGAAAGTATTTTACAATCATTATTATCCTGTAGGTGATATTTGGAGTGCAGAAAATTAAGTTCAATTTAATCCGTAAAACTGTATTTGTATTTGTATTGCTTGCATCTGCTGGGATCACCGGGTACGTGATAGTGAGGTTAGACGTAGAGTATTAGGGAATGATGTTAAATCGGTTGATGAGGTTGTGAATTTTCATCGACTGAGATGGTTGGGCAACGTGTCACATATGGCTGAATATCGATTACCACGACGCGCAATGTTGACTAGTGTTGGGGGCGAGACTATGATTTATGGACGACCTTTGAATAAATCATGAGTGACCTTGAGAAATATTAGCCAATCAGAAAACAGTTGGTATAGAGTAAAAATATATTATACAAAACCAAAGAAATCGAGTCGCTACACTCATACATGGCTCAAAAACTTGTCAAGGTCACAAAGAGGTTCAGAGGTTCTAAAATCGTAATGCATGCAGTAGAGGAAATCATCCATATGGCTACAGAATAGTCAGCTTCTAGCAACGATAAGGTCTTAAAAATTCTTTCAGCCTCGACCACATAGCTTCAATATTGTTTGTGTGCACTCCGGTTGTTGAGTACACAAAACGCTAATTATGGATAACGACACGATGTACATAACCAAACCTATATATATATATATATATACTAGGTTGGCTCTGTGATCTTGAAATCCCTCAAAAGCTTCTGATTGGCTCATCCATAAATTATAATCTCTCCGTGTTGGGGATGGTTGGAAGAAAGTTAGGGGCGGCCAAACCAAATCAAGGCATCAATGCTTGAAATCACTAACTTCTAGTCTGAGCCATGTTGGTAGATGCAAACTAATTGGTTGGGCTCTACATGACAATCATAACCAATGCTTGGAGACTCTAGGTGACAGCTCATAATCTATCACAATGGCTTAGGTATATGCACTCTCTGTCTTCCTTTAAAATTGCTCTATATCTTTCTACGAACTAATTCTTTCTTCCTGTACTATATCCTTATATGCTATCTTTCTTTTATATATTACCACCATTAAATTAACTACTTCTATGAATCCGGTGTTCATCTTGTTGTGCTAATGAGGTATGGCAACTTGGACTGATGCATATATGTGCCTGGTCTTACGTTGTAGCTTACTGACTGACTGATTTGTATTTGTATAAAAATGGTCAAAGACACCTTGGGAATTATCTATAAATACATACAGGTTTTACATTATATCATAACTGATTTTAATTGCAATAAACAAATTCATTCCCATTCCATAAGATTGTGGCTATCTAAATTCAGTAGTTCATTTCATAACTGGTTGGGTTTTTGAAAAGAAAGGCACTGCAATCGAGTCTCGCTATGAACTACAATAGAGTTCAGTTGTCTAGTCCTAAATAGAATGAAATGCTCATTCTGGATTCCGATTCTGGATACCATCTTAATTTAAATAGTCACTGAATTCAATGTAAATCTTTTATTTTACTCATATAATTAGTCATTCATCTACAGAAACTAGAATATTTGAATTCAAACGCAATATATTCGCCTACCATATGGACAAATTAGCAAGTTTATCAACTTTACAAAGTAAACAGAATTTCCTGGTTAGCAAACATTTTTTTAAAAATTGAATCATCCATAAATGATTGGAAAGAGTAAAACTTCAGGCTATTTAAACGAACGAATATATATATATAATAGGCTAAGGATTTCATTCTCATTTGGAAGAAAATCCTGAATCACAATCGTTAATTTATACCCCAAAGGTGGCCTACTTGAATACCTAGGCTACCTGTTCCTGCCATCTGGATATTTCTACAAGTTATCTGTTTTCTTGTTTGTTTTAACACATCACTATGTCTATTAGTCTCATAACCTTTTCAGGTGAGTTTGTGAAAAGTTTACGACATTTCTCTGTACAAGTTAAAAAAAGAGCTCATTCCGAGACATCTTGGTTGCTGGCTGTATGCATCGTAAAGAATATACATCATTCATATATACGTTCCTGAACTGTTAATATATAACTGGTGACCACTTAATATTTACCTCAAGGATCAATCAAGAAATAGGAAAAGGAAACTTGTTGAAATACTTTATGCTGAGAATTCCATATTGTACCAAAAATATAATATTGAATAAAGCCACTAATAATAATAATAATAATAATAATAATAATAATAATAATAATAATAATAATAATAATAATAAAGCATAAAGTAGGGATTCATTATCCAGATTGAAAGTTTAGACAGCATCAAAATTTTAACAGAAATATAATATTTCTCGTATATATATCCTGTTCTATTAAATGATATCTAATAACTAACATTGAAGTGTTGAGGAAATGAATAGATTTCAGTGAATTTACCAATTTATCAAACATTAAAATGCTACTATAACGCTTTTGCAGAAAAAAAAAACAAATAAAAGATTTACGAACTAATTCTAAAAGTGTTATCAGTCTTATTGCGTTATATTTTTATTTTAAAGAATTTCCTATTGATAAACTGGATGGTACCAGAAAAATTTCCATTTTGTTAAGTAGGATGGTTTGAGGAGACAATTTAAATTTAAAAACAATTTTCATAAAAAAGTGATGTTATAAGCAAAGATAGATAGTGGCTAGCAGTGGAATTCAGAAAACACGTTTTTTTCTATTTGGGACACATCCGCTAGATATACCTGCATCCTAGAGTTGATGTTCACTCCACCACTCAAACCCAGTTCCGTTCTCTTCAAATACCATCGCATTATCCACTTAGCTACTAAGTCGTGATAGCCACCTGTTTGTGCGATGGGGTGAAGTTTTAAAGTCACTTAGTGTTGTTTAT